ATATTTAAATTTCTTTTTCGTTTGATGATGTTTGGGAATTATCCCACATCGAAAGATGAGTATTCCACTTTGGTATATAAATACCTATGTAATATAAATTAAATTGTTTGTGTAGAAATATTAGGGTAACTTCACACGTGTCGTACGTGTGCAGGGAGAGAACCGGATTGGAACCGGCGGTTCTTCTCTATAACCGGGCGGTTCTCGGTTTTGTATCGAAACCGGCACGGACTCTACCGGTTCCCGAGTCGAACCGGGCGAGTCCAGTTTGACGCACCGATTTTTAAAACACTACTTCAGGCCATTATATACAAAATTACAATGTTAAGGGTATCTTATTCATCATGATCATCAGGCCATCAAATATGAAATCAAAATGTTTAGAGTATCATATTCATGGTGATCAACATTTAAAAAAAATAAATAAATCATTTTTTTTATATATAAATTAAAATCTATCGTACTTCACACAGAAAAATTAACATATATCAACCGTCCAAATTTAGATAAAATGGCTTCGGTATTTGTGACCTTATATCTGAAAGGTTACAAACACCAATTCTTGGTACACACTCCTATTATACACAATACCATTGTTCACAATATCTAGGGCAGTCTCATTGTGTACAATAAATTTTGGTACACAACACCAAACATAGAAGTTATTCATGAGATTACACCATGAGAATTTATTCATGAGATGCACTAGCTCTATAAACTAATGGTACTTGATCAATTACAAGCAATTCATATGTGATATCTTCAATTTTGAAAAAAAAAAATGTTTATACAAGTATGAGGGTATAAACAATCAAATTAGGGCATACATCAAAAATTTCATTGGAAGAGGTTTTTTGATGTCCAAATATCCTCAAATTGATCATCTCGACCTCAAGATACATAGACATGAGAAAAAAAAAATGGATTTCAAGTTTTGTAAATAGTGCATCTTATAATGCATTTTTTTACCATCAATTTTCAAAAAATTTAAGTTTTTATAGATCTGCTCAATCTACACTATTTTTAAAACTTTAAATTTTATAATTAGTGATGAAAATATATTTTAAAGTTATCACAAAGACTTCTCGTACTAAAACCACATCTCTCGACAATATCTGAAGGTACACTTTCTTTTGATTGTTTAGAGCCTCGGCTCTATATAAACCGCACTCTTTAAAAAAAGCAATTAATGTACATTAGGATTCACGTGAAAAGATATCATGTTGCTTGCATAAATAATAATAATAATAAGTAAATATATTTTTGGGGTCCTAGAGGCTAAAGTCAAAGTCGGTGTGAAAGTTCTAACGCCCTTCTTTCTTTGTTGGCAATAATTGAGGTGCCTATAATTTCGTTGCTAATCATTTTCCACGCCTATTTATCATTTTCTTCGAAAATTTATATTTTTTTCCCTTTTTAATGTTTATTTTATCGTATTTTATTATTTTATTTGTGCCCTTGTATAAACTACAAACTTGTATGTGGGCCTTAGAGTACTGGATCATTTAGTGAAAAAATTTTCGAAAGGAAAACCAAATCAGTGATCCTCTATTCATTTATTTTATTTTATTTTATTATTATTTTCTAAAATTTAGGAAAGCTATATTGAGTCAATGAAACGAAGCAAAATACAAAGTTACAAAGCCAGAAGGACAAAATAAAAGAAAAACACAACATAATGACTTGCTAACTACATTAGTGATCCACTAATCATCAAGATTCCTGGGTCATGAATGCATTCTCATCTGATTGACGGATCAACGATGAGAGAGAGATAGAGAGAGAGGGCCCACCATAGATATGATCGAAGTCGAATAAGGTGGTCCCCAGCAAGGTGCTCCCGAACACATTTTATCATCCATATATGGAATGAACATTGATGAATTCCAAAGACCATAAGTTTTACTTTTCCTTTTTCTATAGATCATATTATGTTTCCCTTTTTATAATCTTAAACAATTCAAGTAAGGTGAACCTCCAAATCTTATCCAAAGATGTAATTTCAATGCTAGAATTAAACAATCCAAGTAAGGCGCACCTCCAATCTTATCCAAAGATGTAATTTCAATGCTGGAATTATTTTCAGTTGTATGAAAATCTATTTTTCCTCCTAATTACGGAATTTAAAGCTTCAAAAATAGTAAGAATTGAATAGATCTATAAACACTTAAAAATCTTATTAACAAATCCGGCTTGTAAAAACTTTGAGTGCCTCAATAGAGAGCCCTGAGTATTGAAAATTAGCAATCCTTCAACTTTTTGCTTGGACTAATTATCTTTAGATATTTATATTTAATATTAGATATTTATTTTTAAATCTTAAAAAATAAAAACTTGTTATCTTGGGCCTTGTCCTTGGACTTGCACTCTACAACTTTTATTTGGACTGAAAGTTTATTATCAACTGCATTACTATGGCCTCATCTTTCTTTTCAAAAGTCTATTTTCTTCCTCAATATGAAGTCATAGAATTTGAAGTTTTCAAAAGTCTATTTTCTTCCTCAATATGAAGTCATAGAATTTGAAGCAAATCAACATGGACCTTCTTATGTTTCATTTTTTTTGGTGCATTTGTAGATGATTGCCACTACTTGGAGAGTCAAATACTTTAATTCGGGATCCTTTCAGTTCACTTGTGATAAGTAGAAACTTATACAATTGACTGGGTATAGGTTTATTTTCATGAGTAAAAGTCTAAAGAATACATACTGTGCATCGGAAAAGTTTGTTTTATTCATCATGTTTCCTCAGTTTCTCCTTCAACTTATGGTGGCTTGCAACGATGAGAACATAGATGGCCTTGAACGTGCTCAACAAAGGTACATAGCTTTTTCTGCCGCCTCTTAAAGTTCGACGCATCAAACAGTCGAGTCGAGTCGAATCTAGGAAAGTTCGACCCATCAAACAGTCAAGAGTCGAATCTAGGAAAGCGTTGGTTCATGACCTTAGTTAAGGTCATAGATGTTTCAACCCAAGTATTGTTGGATTTGGTGGGTAAAATAGAGCAGAGAGAAGTTATTCAACAAGTACTTTTGAGGAGCAATAACGGAGGCCAACAATCTTCCTGCTTTTAGACAAAAATTTCAGTTATCTTGTCTAAAATTTCAGTTATCACAAGACAATGTTTCTCTTACTGATGAAAATTAGCGTGCATCTAAGTCCTCTTAGCAAATTTGTCCTATCCTCGGGATATCATGAGAGAAAAAGTTGAATATCATGTCACCTGTACAAATGCACAAGTACAAAAATACTGGACTTGCCTTGCTCTAGAGAGAGCAAGTTCACAGTATAGAGAAGGATCTGAAATGTGTATATAGGATCATCTTCAAAATTGTGCTTCAAAATAGAAGTTTGGGCCCTCAAGTGATTACCCTTTCAATTTCACCCGATGTCCAGTGCATTGCAGATAAAGGATGAATACATGTGACTTTTCAACTCCAAATTCTTATAACAACCCATCGGTTACAAATTCACATGCAACTGAGTACCCAACAATCATAGTGATTCATGGAAACTTTTTGGGTTCCAGAAAATGAATTGTTAAACCAAATTACTGAGATACCCCTCTCCCAACCTTGCCATTTATCTGCACCACCAAATATCCCCTAACAGACCACTGTTGCAAATTACCAAAATGCCCCCAACCAGGCCAATCACCTTCTCGGTACCTCGCCGTGCAAAAGATAGAGAGCTGCAAGCCGCACACATGCACAACATGTGCCTCAAGTATCATTGCACCCAAACACATGAACATACTCCACATAGGTCTTCTCTTCCCTTCGTTGCATGAAACAATAGAATAAGGAATTCACTTATTTAAACATGACATTCTCTTTATGGTTCGCCATGTGAGACTAAAAACACTCTTCTCTCTCAGCACCAAAGACAAACTTAAACTTTCCAAAGACTAAAATTTATGAAAGGATATTATTTCTAAATTACACCGGATATTTTTCCAAGCAAAAAAAACCAGACTAAGTCAATGGTGCGTAAACTATCCTTATTTGTCACTCCTAACAAACAAGGGTAAATATCCCACATATCAACTGAGACCTGATACCAGCTCTTGCTCACAAAAAGGCCTAAATAAAACACAAGTGACCATGGCAGAGAAATATCAGTGGCTTTAAAGTTGTCAAAGCAAACTAAGATGCTTTGTCCATGAGATGTATGGGTGCCAATATATTCGACTTGTTCGTCTCCACGATATAACCATTCATCACCATCTCCTCCAGCATGAAGTGGGCCTTCTCCAAATGGAACATTATATCAAGTTCACACTGCAACATTTCATAATTTAAAAAGAACATGTAAATAGAAATAAATAAATAAATCAAACTATCCAAGTCAAGTCCAAGAAAAAACTACATCATGTTCTTGAAGAGTAGATAGGGGTGTGTCAAAAGTTCAGGATTGGGTCAGGTTCTGATCCATGGGCTCATGCCGAATGGAACCAGGTTGAGTCCAAATCTGGTGAACTATTCTTTTTGACTTAGAAACTATGAGGACAGGATTTCACAAGCATACCACATTCCCAAAGTGGCGATCCATCGTTTCAACCAACAGATGAATGAACTCCAAGATAGCCAACTCATTCTGCAATAAGACAAAGTTGAGCACTTAAAACGAACATTTATGGGTAAAAATGTCTCTTTTGTGCACGATAAAGAGAGAGAGAGAGAGGACAAACCTCATCATTATCTACCCCAACCAAGAAAAAGAGTGATGCATATCGCCTGTACACAACCTTGTAAGTCCGATGCTCGACGAAAGAACACTGCACTCAAAATACGACCATTACACTAATATCCAAAGGAAAGGGAAAAGTAACTAGCTGAATTATCATAGCATAGTTTTCATGTGCTATCAGAAACTATTAGAAATGAAGTAATATACTTGAGGTGCAAAGACCAATGTGAAGCTACAAAGACCATTTTTCCTCACTGGGTCTCGCACATGAAACCTGTAACAGTCTAAAACTTGAGGCACAAAAGACCAATGTGAAGCTACAACGATTATTTTTCCTCACTGGGTCTCACACATGAAACCTCTTGACGGTTTTAGACAGATATCATATATTCCAAACTTCTACTCAATCTTCTTTGGCGCTCCTCTCCAAGCCCAAAATCTTCAAGTTTTCCTCTCTAGTTCCTAAACGGTTCTTATTTCAAGTATATTCTTCCAATTAAAAATATTTATTGGAATAAGAAAAAAAAAGGTTAACCTCTGCATTATGCTAGTGGAAGCACAAATGAATCCTTTCCTCTAATTTTGTTTGTAGCTGTTGTTTTGTACCTGGGTAGTGTGCTTGATAGGCTTTAGATTAAATCTATGAACAGAAGCTTCTTTGTTCATCGGAATATTTCGGCACATATGGATTTCAAATTTATGAAATTTTAATTCATAAGCAGGTCATATTTTTATAAATAAAATTATATTTTCTAAATAAATGTACATAAATACGTGGGAAAAATGAGTAAAATTGTTGCATGCAGTTTCTTTACAGATCATCATCGTCATCGTCAAAGCCTTTTTCCAACTAATTAGGGTTTGCTACACAAATCCTGGTCCACTGTTCTACTCCATTAAGGGTCATACCCTCAATGAGGCCATAAGTCCCCATATCTAGTTTCTTTACAAATCTTTTACAAACCTAATGGAATCATGTAAGGTAGACCATGGTCTAATATTACCACCCATGCCATTTGAGATTGCTGAAATTGCATCTAACTGATTCACTTGTGTATTGTAGTTATAAGTGACTCTTTCTGAGGTATCACCTATCTCCTCATAGAAAATTATAGGATTAGGCATGATATATTGAGATGTATCAAACAGATTTTCCATTTTATTTGATCAAGCCTTTATCTTATTGGACATATATTGAATTAAATGGTGGTGTTAGGCCTCTTTGCAGGGCATTCAAGGCGTAAGCACCTCATGATTAGACTTGTTCAAACCCACAAGTATGTGATAGAGGTGGAGCAACCTGAATATTAGATGCTGGTGCCAATTAGCAAGATCAATATACTTTAGCAATGGAGAATCTTTTCTGAACATTTTTTGCCCAGTATAGGTATGGGTTGGCAAGAGTTCTATACACAGAGTTTGCACAGCACCACAAAAATTCATGAACAAATTCTGCTAGTGCGTACCATTACAATAACCAAAGGCAATAGTCTGGAACTGATTACTCAACATCAATGGTTTAAAAAGCGGATCGTTGACCCGGATCGAGCACCTTAAAAACTGATCCGGATCGGTGAATCGGCGATCCGGATTGGGAATCGGCTGGATTAAAGCTTCAAAAAAATCAGAAAAAATTATTAAAATTTATTATAAATGTTGTTTTTTAGGAATCCAATAAGAAATGAGGGTACTACATTATTAACTTTTATTTTTTCCATCAATTTGTGAATATTGAGATACTCTTTCCCTGTATGAACTTATGTTGACCATTAAATTTACATCACACAAAACAAATCATAGATTAATTATATAATCATATATGGACTACAATAAAGAGTTGACTAAATCAATGAAAATTTGGCCACTAAAATCTCGAATTAGCAAAAAATCCTAATCCGCTAAAAAAATCCAAATTATTACAACCTAACTAACTATAATATTACATACCAACAATATTTTATAATTATTTTATTATATAAATAATAACAAATCCAAAATATTTTATAATAGCATCTAATTTAAAATGTATTATTGACAACTGTAATAAAAATAGTACACTACATGATACAAAAATTAATAAATAAAATAAAAGATTAGGTTATCAATGTAGAAATTATTAGTATGCGTACCAATTTTTTTTAATTTTTTAGGTTTCTGGAATAAATTAGTGAAAGAGATTGCTAGTAGAAAGAGAGAGATTTCAAATGGCCTTATTGTATGAATCCTATCTTTAAATTAATATTAGTAAATTTATGTTAAAGACCATCATGTTATAAAAATAAAAAATATAATTAGACCATTTATTTCCAGGTTGTATTAAGAAATACCTTTTATTTTTTGACAAGAAATACTTATTGTGTTATCTTTTATTTTTTTTTACAAGAAAAATATGATACTTGTTGATTATTTTTTTTTGTTTTTTTGACAAAAGAAGAAGATGTTGTCCTATATTTTTTTTGCTTGTTGTATTACTTTTTATTTATTTTTACAAGAAAAATAAAAAATGATGCTGCCAAAGTACATTTTATTTTTTTATGCCTTTTGTTTTATTTTTTTGCAAGAAAAATTTTTTATATTACCTTGTATTTTTTTTACAAGAAAAATAAAAAACTGTTGTATTATATTTTTTATCTTTATCTTGAAAAGCTTTTTATTTTTTATTTTTTAAGTTTTTTTTACAACAAGAAAAGCTTTTTATTTTTTCTATTTTATTTCGAGCGTTTTATTCATTATCTTGAAAAGCTTTTTATTTTTTATCTTTATCTCTATTTTTTATCTTTATCTTAAAAAAATGTTGTATTATATAAACGACGACGCGCGGGGGGTTCGAACTCAAGACGCCCGTCTGAAATTCAAGGTTGACAACCAACACCACCACATCGCCTAATGTGATTCATTAGCCTCTATAATATAATACATATTCAATCATCTTGCTTGAATGATTTTTTGTGAGAATTATCCCACATCGAAAGATGAGTGACCCTTTGTTCTCTATAAAATACTGTGTACTAGTCCATCAGCTGCGTGTGTAGAAATGAGAGGGGGGCAAACGAGTGAGGTGAATTAGCATATGTGAAGATTTTTAAGTGCCACGTGTCACTCTCGTGAGGCTGCCACGTGTCACTCTCGGTGAGACTTGCGATTCAATATTGGGAATCGCCGGGAATCGCAAGTTCTCTTTGGACAAGGGCGATTCCCGATTTTTTCATGAAATCGGCTCGATATCAGACGATTCCCGAGTCGAACTGGGCGAGTCCGGCTCGACTCGGGGAGTTTTTAAACACTGCTTAACATGCTTCTCTGTGTTCCAAGCAGTGTTTTAAAATGCGGCCATGCGGGATGCGCTCGCATACGCATTGCGAACTGGCTCATATGCGCTTTTGACAAATGCGGCCGCATATGCACCGCATCAGGCCGCATCATGGCCACATCCTGTCGCATTGTGCCACAACTGTTTCCACGGAAAAAACATTCGATTTTGCCCCTTGTGGAGGGGCAAAATGGTCTTTTTGTAGTTCCAAAGTTTAGAGAAACTGTTTGGGACAAAGATTTCCAGCCACTTTTGATGCTTTTTTGCATAAAATCGAAAGAAAAAAAAAATCAGCGAAAACTTTTTTTGCATCCAAATCTTAGATTTGGCGGTTGTTTGATAATTGGATGTTCATTTCATGCCTTTGATTGTTGATTTGGGGATGTTAAGGTGAATTTACGATAAGAAATTAGGGATTTCAGAGGCCGTGAAGAAATCGAGCACTACTTCACAGAGTCGGTAAATTTTATTCCTTCTTGTACAATAATACTGTTATACTTATTTTCAAGGCAATGTCTTCTTCCCAATCTTCTAGTAACAAAGATCCGGCTTGAAAATATGTTAAACTAAAAAATTCAAAAAATAGAAATTGTGTGCTACGCTTACTATGTGGAAATACTTATATCGGTAGTATTTTTCAACAAAAAGAGCATTTAGTCGGAATTTCTGAAAATGTAAGAGCATGCCCACAAGCTACAGATGATATAAAAAAAGAGATTAGAGAATATTTGGATAGATTGGAAAAAGATAAAGAGAAAAAAAAAAAAGGGAATTACTTGATGATATGCAATTATTTGATGATGTTGATGATGATGATGATGATATGTCTGAAGTTGCTATGAGGCAAAGGGGTACTCATACTCCAACCTCGAGAGAGACAGTTATAAATATTGGCGGTAGTGCTGAGAGAAGAATACCTTTATCTAAGGGGCCAATAGATTCTTTTTTCACCCCTAGCCCCAAAATTGTGGTTCAGGAGAGAAAGAAAAAAACAAAACAAACCACAATTGACAATAAATATAAGAAAGAACAAAGGAAGTCGGTATGTAAATGGATTGCAAAGTGGATTTACATGGCCGGCATTCCTTTTAATACTATAACTCTGATAGTTTTGCATGTATAGTCCAGGCAATTGGGCAATATGGCCCAGGACTTATTCTTCCTCCACTACATGAGGTTAGGGAGCCCTTGTTGATATGTGAATAAAATTTTGATTTCTCAGAGAGTAGAGAAATATGGAGCCACTATTATGTGTGATGGTTGGTCCGATGGGAAATCAAGGGCATTCATTAATTTTTTAGTTAACTGCCCAACAGATACTTTTTTTGTTAAAGTCTATTGATGCATCAGACAAGTCACATGATGGTACATACTTATCTGGCTTGATGGATGAGATTGTCGATTTTGTTGGGGAGCAAAATGTGGTACAAATTATCACCGACAATGGTGCCAACTATGCTGCAGCTGGGCATTTCTTGACTTTGAAAAGAAAGCATATGTTTTGGACTCCTTGTGCAGCTCACTGTGTTAATCTTATGCTTAAGGAAATGGGTACATCTTTATTTAGTGGGGTGATTTCAAGAGCTATGTTTGTTGTTGGATTTACTTACAATCACACCATAGTCTTAAGCATGATGAGGTCTTTTACAAAGAAGAGAGAATTAGTGAGACCGGGTATCACTAGATTTGCCACGTCATTTCTCACTCTTCAAAGCCTAGCCAAGCAAAAAAGTGCCTTGAGGAACATGTTTTCTTCAGAGCAATGGAGTCAAAGCAAA